TGCTATGAAAAATTTGAATCAAACTCTGTAGTAATGATTTTCGAACTGGAAAACATCACCTCATTCTATTTATTGGGACTTCTTATTTTGTTAGCTAGAAAAATACTCCAGGCCTTCTCCCATCCTAGAGTTTCTGAAGTGATCTTTCCCATAAGGAAGATAAGTTTTCACTTAAAGGATAGCATCTCTAGCAGCAAGAGTTTAATACTCTGCAACAATATCAGGGATACGCAATCCTGAATTTACAGCTCTTAAAATTACTTTTATAGCTATACTGTTCATTTTGGATCAGATGCTTATCTAAAATTCTATATATTTTGGTAGCCACAGTATATCTGATTTTAAAAAGAGCTTCCAATAAACCAAAAATACTGTTTTATTAAACACACACATACATGCACACAAAAATATATCCTTAGGTTCTCTTAATCAGCATAGCTCCTGTTTATCTAATGGGACAATACCAACTTATACTAGCTATGGATTTGGTCCAAGTAATTTTGCTTCAAAGTTGACATTATTTTTGTTTTTCCCTCCCCCACCTGCTTTTTCCAGTAACAAAATCTGGTTTTGAGTTAATTTATGCCAGAATCTTTATGATTATCTTTATGCCTTTGCTCATCAATGACTCGGAGGGAAAAATGCTGATTAATCAAGAGTTATTGACTGGCAGTACTCTTCAATACCTCACAGATGTCTGCAAAACAATTTCCTCCAATCGCAAAAGAAAGAAAGAAAGAAAGAAAAAAAAAAATCAATAAAAATCAATGTGAAAATCTAGTAATTAAATTTATCAACTCCATATCAATAAATCTGGTGCTTTATGAAAGTATTATGTGAAGTTTGTTCTTTTAAGGGATGTATTGATTGAGGGCAAAGAGCCAAATATTTCTATTATTAGATCTGTGAATGATAGATCAGACCAGCATGTTTAAAACAACATACAAGTGTTTCACAAACACAGTTCTTATGTTGATTTTGTATTATTAAAGCCATTCTAAACAAGCAAATTAGCTGATTAATTGATTATTAAGGCTGCAAGATCAGTAATTATAGCCAAAACTTCTTATATGCATACATGGAGCCAAACTTACTCCTCACAGAAACCATTATTTTCATCCAGACACATTTTAAACACACACACATAGAGCATGTTGCCAAAAATAGATCTTTGACCATTTTCATGTACCCCAGAGCAGTCCAAATTAGATTCTGCAATTCAGGCCTTGCCACCTGGAAATACACATAATGAAATGTTTGATAATTGTAGTGTTATCTGCAAGATGAACAAAGAAACATGAGGATGATTGCAACTGTGTGGAAATACTAATAAGAACCACATAAGTGACAACAATAATAAGAGGCAACATTTAAAGTAAAAAAGTTAAAAGTGTATGCTGAAATGCATTTTAGTTGAAGCAGATCACCATATATATATATAACGCTAGCAAGTAGTCAAAGAAAAGTTCATGAAGTTTTATTTTTACTAATTAGTAGTCTTAAAAAAAAAATGCAACTGTTCCTTCTATACCAAGAGAAAACAAGATTAAAACTCTTTCCACTGTATTCAAAAGTTAGCCTCTATAAATGGCTTAAGTTAGTCTTTTTCGCTGACACTTGTGAGATCAAAATATTAGTAATAAAATCCTTCTATGCTTCTACATTGAAGACAGCAGGCATTTATTTTCACAGATGTTCCCATGTATAATATCAACAACTTGATCCCATACTGTAAATATTTCGTTGGGGGGAGGGGGAGAACAAAACAAAACAAAACAAAAAAACCCTCTCTCACACACACCAGTTTTGTGTAGGAATCATATCCTGCCACAAATATCAAATAACAATGAGGCTCTATTACCATGCTATGATTCCTTCCTTTCAAAGATTATTAATTAGCAAGTATAGCACTCACCAAAACTCCCACCACACTTCTGTTTGCTGCCTATTTGCAGCTGGAGCTATATGGAATATCAAGCTACCATAAGCAGCATTAGTCCACTTATGACAGTGTGAGGGGGAAAAAAAATCCAAGTGTATTGTTTAAGGAAAATTTTGCTTATGCCTGATTTCATTTAGTCAAAAATAAAGATCTCCTCTCACTCTTCCTTTTTATTATAAGGACTGCCTTCATAATCATAGTACAACCTCATGCATAATGAAACCAAGGGAGAAAAAATTGGAAAAGTTAGCCCATGTAAAATTCAGAGACTGAAAACAAACTGGGCAGGTATAAACAACAACTAATACTGTTATTTTTTTTCCTTGACTGTCCAGTTATGAAGGTTTCAATCTGAAATACAGTGGTTATGGTGAGAATAGAAGTATAGTTCACTTGCCATAAAAACAACAGAAAAAAAGAACCCCCCAAAACCACCAAAACAAAACAAAAACAACCCCCGCCCCGCAAAAAAGCCTCAACAGAAGAGTAGAAGAGGGGATGATGAAGTCAAGAAGACTAATATGCTGTAAACGATGCAACGAGAGGTTTCCAAGTGTCATTTTATTTGACATAAACATCATTTTGGCAGCAGGAGAAACTTTACTCTGTAAGAGGTGGGAATAAAAGGACAAATACAGATGAGAGAGAAAAATTCAAATGAGGCAAAAATGTGGGATTTGCCTTTTCCCGAAATCCTAGAAATACCTCTACACTAAAGCAACAAGGAGAAAAGTCTCAGTTTGAAAGCAACAGATGCACAACTGAGCAGAAGACAACCCTGGTGATAAATGCAGGGACTACAGACAGGATCTTCAACACTGAATGTCACACATGCATCTGCATTCATGCTTTTTAAAAATTCAAAAGTTTCACTGTGAAAAACAAATGGGAAGAACATCGGATGCATCTCTGCTCATCAGCTCTGTGCCACACCAATAAAAGGATCTTGGTGATTGTGTCACACCCAGGGAGAAGTGATTTTTAAAATCTACATCAGTCCCACTCTCTGCAGTTTTCAGTTTTATAAATATAGGATCAAAAAACATCAAAGCCGTTTCCACTTCAGACCTAACTTTTAGAGGATCAATGTGACAAGTCCCTGCTTGATAGATGTTTCTCTTGATAAACGACTTGTTCAAAAGAGACATTGTAGCTTTCATTTCCTGACCACAACACACTTTTAATTTGCAACAGCAGAGCTGCTCAAGTGTGACTAGTTCCCACTTTCCAGCCTTTCAGGTTTGTGCCTATGTCAGGCCACATAATTGGGCAAAACAAAAAGGAGGTGCATCTGCTGGCAACAATAATTGTAGCAGAACTTCCCCCCCCCCCCAAATATTGTGTAGACACCCCCCCCCCCCCCCCCCGAGATGTTACAGATTATATTACATTTCTTTTAAACGTGAGTTAAAAAAATCCCACCAATTTCAGCTAGCTAAAATATTCAGGGGGAGGTGGTGGAAAGCACATTAAAAAAATATTTAACCAAGCACCAAGGGGGGGGGGGGGGTGCGCCCGTATGTGGCAGCCTACCGCTACGATGTTTATAACAATAATAATAATTATTATTATCATCCAGGAATCTCACTTAACAGCCCGCACCTTCTACACCATCCAATTTCAGCTTTCAGCATACTGTCCGATTCCCGATTTAAAATTTATAAATGTAATATCCTCCTCATCACAAGCAGCAGTCCAATCTGCTCTGAATATATATTACAGCTTTAACATCACAGAGGGAAATCTCCCATCTGGCAATCACATTCGCTCCAACAGCTCTAGGAAAGGAGGAAGAAAACCTGTGCCCCTCTCCTTCTCCCCCCCCCAAACATTTCTCAGGGCAAATTATGTGCATCTAAAATAAACAGTCGCCTTATTGATCGCTTTCAAGTCAACAAGTTCCAAATGCAAAATTCAATCAGATCAGTGCCATCGTACAAGCAGCCCAGAACGTGTTTAGATACACAGTCTCCTACAGCACCAACATAGGAGTGTACATTGTGCAACTGCTCTCTCAATCCCTTCCTTGCATTCAGATATTATTATGAGAGATCATCAGCCACACACTCCGACCCCCTCACTCGGGTCTCTCCGTCCTTATTTGTTACTACCACATGCAATTAAAAGTGAGTATGCCCCCCCACCCTCGTTTGGTTGGGCCAAACAGATTGATAGCGTTTCTGTCAGTAGTTCTTTCGTCTTAATTGCCTATCTGTGAGTGTACAGACTGTACCGCAACAAGATCTATTGAAATCCCCACGCTCCATTTTATCTAAGGTTTTTTTTGGTGGGGGGGAGCCGAGGGTTTGAAAGTGAGCGGATAAAAAAAGAGCTGAAGTCAAATTTCTGTACCTGATTAGTTAATTCTGTTACACCTAAAGATTAAAACAATAAGAATCAGACACATGGAAAGTGGGCATAAAATAACCTGCCTGGCAAAGACCTTAAAACAATCGATCACAACTGTATTTGTTTGTTTACATGCAAAACATTTCCTCCCCCGTCGTCAACTGAAACCCACAGAAACTGATTATGCCAAAAGTGACCGAGAAAAAAAAAAAAAAAAAAAAAATCAGATGGGAGTTCAGAGAACGAGTCAATAAATATTAGTTTTCAAGAGAACAAAACTGTATCTTTGCCGTGAGTGTGTATATGTAAGTGTATACAAACACACACACGACTATACACACATATAGGTGTGTGTGGGGTGGGGGGTTCATTACTAGGCGCTTTCCCCTTCTCCAGTCACTGAGTTTTCCTAATTTACATATCATTTGAGTTCAGTGGTGTATATAGTGCACTGCTAGTAACATGCAACTTTAGGTTTACAAGTAAGATCAATACAATACACATAACTAGTGCTAGATTCAAAGCAAAAATATAAACAAATGATAGCAAGAGAAAAAAATGCTTATTAAACAGTTGAAGCTTGATCATTAAACATTAGGTATTTATTACTAATCGTATTTGCATGCAAAATCCTCAGAGCTATATCATACTATTTATATTTGTCTTTGCTATTTAGATGCAAAGGAAGTAGATCCCAAAACGGACATACCATAAACACTGGTGCTACTGATCATTTCTTGCTGGCAGCACAAAAAGCTGAATTGGATTTTTCACAAGCAGGAATTCCAAAGGTTGCTTTTCATTAAAGCCACTTTTCCTCTCAGCTATCAAATGTCACTGCCTTGAAACGTGGGCCCTTTCGTCAGGTATTCATTTAACCTACATGCATATAATTAAGTGGGAAAGCAACATCAACAAAAAGGGGATCTCAGATCACAAGAGAAGAAAGAAAGGAAAAAAGCACATGACCAGGAATGCAAGTCGATGTCAATTTCACTCACTCCCATTGAAACTAACAAGAGCTCCAGGGAGGATAGTAATAGGATCAGTGGATTGTATATACCATTAAATTATACATCTTTCTCTCTGTTCCAAGCCAACAATACGCCCACCACGCTGTACCCCCTCCAAGATGATGTGCTTACATTTTACTGCAACAGCTCCTCTTGACATATTCACGTCCCCCCAGCTAAAATACTGCAATTTAAACCCAACTTTTGTTTTCCAAGATTCTTATTTGCACTTATTTACTTAGAAGTTAGTTCCCCAAGAAAGTCTACCCCCTGTTACCTCCACTTTATTATTTTCAAATACAACTTAAAAATAAATCCAACTAGGGGGGAAGGAGGTGGGAAGGGATCTTGCAATCGCGAACTCTTAATCTGCCTACTATTGTTGGCAATGATCAAGGGGAAGGAAGAAAAAAAAAAACCCCATGCACTGCAATTGTATATCTGTACTTTCCAGACTGCGATTAGGAAAGCAGACTAGAGTATTTAATATTTTAAAAAAGCGATTGCGAATTCGAGTCAATATACAAGGCACAGGCAGGCGATGTTTTAAAAATATATATAAACGCATGGCTGTGCTGGATAGATTTAAGATTAAAGAAAATTTAAAATGATCGTAGGAAGATTGCAAAAGATCGTCTTACCTGGAGGTTTGGTATAAGCACCCGATAGGTTAGAATAGCATCGATCCGATGTGTTTGCTGATGAATGGGGGCTCGGGTTAAGTGAAGGTGCCTATGATTTGAAATCATTCCAAGTTTTTGAAGGGAAGACTGACTGCAGCCTCTGCCATGTTGGAATTTCAAACCCAAAACAGCTGCTTTGCAAGGAGCCAGCATGCCAGCAGCTGGACGCCTGCGCAGAGCGCCGCCGAGCCAAATTCAAATCACTTTCACACTAAGAGCCAAAGATCAGTTTTCAAAGGGGCGAGGGGGAGACACGCAGGAGATTCATGTGCAGGGAGAGCTCAATGGCTGCGCTGCACTGGGCCCTGGCTGCACAGGTCATGTTACATGGCAGGGGCTGCTGCTTTCAGGAGAACATGCAAACACGGGCTGGAGGTGGCCGGGAGGTCATGGTGAAGCAGCCGGGGCCCGCGCTCGTTCTCCTTCCTCCCTGGCCGCGGGGAAGCGGGAATGAAAGGACCCGGGATGCCGGCTCCCTCCTCCCGCCGCCGCAGCAACGTGCTCCGCGCCCGGCTCCCCCCCGGCAGCGGTGTCTCCATGTCCCGGCCCCATCCCCCAGCAGCGGCAGCTGCAGTCTCTCCACAGCTCCCCTCCCCCTTCCCCGGCAGCAGCCGTCTCTCCAGCCCCGGCCGCCGCAGCAGGCAGCGCGAGCGGGCTCGGGCTCCGGCAGGGCTCTACCCCGGGCGGGGCGGGGAGGCTGGCCCGCAGAGGGGCAAAGGCAGGGCCGGGGCCCAGGGGCAGCAGCCAGGCTGGGCTGCCGCGAGGGAGCGGGCAGTTCTTTGCAAAACACAGCAATGGGCAATTCCTTCCAGCCCCTCTGGGTGCTGGCAGCTTCGCTTTCCTGCCTGCCCCCGTTTCCCAGGAGGTTGTCTCCTCTTGGCTCCAAGCATGCACAGTCCTGGCACCCCGTCTCACACGCGGCCCAGGCTGTGGCAAAAGGTCTTGAATGCTCAGTCCCACCCTGTCACTGAAGCCCTGGGCAGCCTTGGGCAAGTCCCTTCACCTCTCTGTTTCAGTCTCTCCCTCTCTCCTCGGGCAAGGGATTAATTAGCTAAAGCTTGCCTACAGTTTTGAAGATGCAAAGTGCAAGAAAAATACCAAGACTCCTAATCCTTTCTCTGGACCAGTTTATCCCTATGCCCAAACTTCTCTCAGCGGAGGGATGTAGTTAAGCACAGCACTGACAAGTCTGTGCTGTCATCACATTTTCCCCTTCCAGGGCAGAGCAGCCTCAGTAATTGCCCTAACTTGAGCCCAGCTGCCAACAGCTTCTCTGAGACATTCTGACAATCAGAAATAGCTGAGGCTTAGAGGACACCTCCGCCACACCTCCTTCCTCTGGCATTTCACCAGTGCCGCTGGCGCCTGCAGGAGAATGGCATAGAGCCAGCTACGCCAACTCTGCAGCTGCTGGGGACTCCCCTTACATAAGAGGAATTCCCCATGGGGCTGTTAGGATGGCTTTACAGCCTCTTTATGCCAGCAGAGCAGACATAAAGTGGCCACACAGCACAAATCAGGCCCTCCCACTCACACACCATTCTCTCTCTCTCATAAACACCTTTTTCTCCCTCTCACAAATTCCTCAGTGCTATCCCCACCTTTCTCTTATATAAAACCTTCTCTGTCTGTTATACACACACACACACACACACACACACGCACACACTACAGAGCAATTTGTATGTGGCTTAACGACCCACAACAATCATGAACTGATTCCCAGTCACTGACATTTTGGAACAGTTTGGTTGTCTGCCTGCACTCCGGCTGGCTGTTTCTATTAACCACCCTACAACTTGTTCTCTCACACATCTCTTGACATTGCCCTCAGCACAACTCGCACCTACTACCATGATAAGGGACTTCCACATTGAGAT